GGAGGAGGAGGAGGAAATGAGGATGCAGACAGTTTTGAAGGAGCAGAGAGTGAAGCCTCATAGTTAGATAAATACAAAAATGATCAGGTGTGTTAGTGCGTGCTCACTTTTCATCACTCTATAACTACGAATTACTGATGCAGTACTGGAGGTGAGGCCTAGGAAGTTGTTGGATTAAAATAGTCTGTGTACATTCTATATAAAAAAGAATGATTCATTATTTTCAAATTTGGAGGGACTTTTCTGAGTTTTTTTGTTTGTTTTTTGAGAAGTATATCCCATTGTTATTTTGATTACTCTTTGAAAGAGTTCATGTACAGTAATAGACTTTGGCTTTTAAATCCTAGCGTGTCAATGCACTTGTATTATAATTTTAAATTAATACTTCAGTATGAGGATGAGTGGGAAGGAATAAAGATACAGAAAGAGAAAATCTGATATAGAATATAGAAATAAGATGCGTCACCCTTCTTGCATCCTGAAAATGTGATGAGCCTTAGTAGGAAAATGACCCTAATAAGGGAAATCAGTTAATTCCAGTGACATTTGTATTACTTTCAGTTCTTTCAGCGAGCTGTTAAAGATGAGTTGTGTCGTCAGAATAATTTATATGTTCAGCCATATGCTTGCTATGAACTTGGCTGTCTTCTATTAGACAAACCAGAGGTAAGATCTTACATATTTTCTTAAATAATGTTCATCACCAAAACTGTGCAAATGAGCAAGCACAAAACATCCTTAGTTTAAAATAAATTAATTAAACTTAGTGTTTTTTGTTTGTTTGTTTTTTTCCCCCTTGATTTCATGTAGGATGAGCCCAAAAGCTACTAATTCTATCTGTGTTTACAGAGATAATGTCTTCTCTGGAATTAGATTTATAAATGTAACTTTTTGGGCAAAAATTTATTTGAGGGAAAATCATTGCCGTTTTTAGAATGGAATGATATGTAATGCGGTTTATTTAGAAGAACACAGAATTGCATTATTATTCTAGTAGTTCTGCCATTTAGTGTAGGATACCGGTTAAGTTACTTAACCACATACCTTCTTCCTAGAATTTAAAACAGGATAAAAAAAAAATATCTGTCTTGTCAATTTAATAAAGATTATAGTGAGAATGAATGAGGATGATGTGTATGATTACTTAAAAATTTTAGAATATCATATAAATTTAAAGTGACAGATACTATTAAGATACATATTTAAGTGTACAATGAGGGAGTTTTTTAATAATAGGATTACAATAGTGCTGGATTTGCTTGATACCTTCTTTTAGAAGCTCAGTTACATAATATTGGCTTTATAAAATTCTAATTTTTAGTAAGTTCAACTCAGCTTTCAAATATATGGACTTTCTAAAAGTTGAACTACATCAACAGAAATATGATTATATATTAGAGCATACCCCTTAAATATGTGGCCTGTCTTGCCAAAGATAGGCTTTTAATTGGTAAGACTTTTCATCTGAAATTCTAATTTTGCCAAAATAGAAAATGCAATTTTAATGAATTTTCGTAGAAACTCCTAACACTGTAGTCTTTATTTTAAGGAAACTTTTACTTTTAAAACAGCCTAAAATACATACATAAAATATAACAAGAGTGGTCTATTTTTTGAAAAGTTAAGTTGATGTCCTCAATCAGTAATGCCTTCAAAAGGAGAAATAATTTGTAGACTTCAAATAAATCTTTTAATTATCACCAATTTTAGGTTGTTTAGTGAGGTCTTAACATGAACTACTATAACTCTTTTAAGCTGTTATCCTTTATAGAATTACAGTGAAGATTATGAAGATTATTCATCAAATAATGCCTTAACGTAAACATTAGCATCATTAAAGAAAAATGGAGTCATCGTAATTGAACGAGCAATTGATTCACCTCTTTGTCTACTATAAATTGTTTAATACATCCTCCTATTATGACATTTTCTGCTTGAGTATATATAAATATAGGTATTAAGAGATACTGTTTTTCTTACATTCATAGACTGTAGCAAGAGGCAGAACGCTACTCCTTCAAGCAAAGGTAAAAATATTGAATCTCTCTCTTTCCAGGGGCCCTTCTTATCCTCTGTGCTATAACTTGAGTCTGAATTCAAGAAATTTTGTGAAATGATTGTCCTGATTGATATTTCTGGAAAAGAAATGTGATAATTGAATCAGTGAGCACTTGATTTTTAAGTGAAATTACCAGTATCATACGAAACTCCCAGGAGATTGTTCATCCTGCTTTATAAACACTTTTCTTATTTGCGTGAGAAAATAACTTTTGATATTTCATAGCTACATTCTTGAATTAAGAATTTCTAACAACAACTTACATTGAGCACAGTTAAAGACTACTGTGTCAGGGATAACATGAGAAAAATGTTCCAAAGACAGCATTCAGTTGACATTTTAAAAATGGACACAAAGTTTGAGGTTCGGGGAATAAAATCAGGTGATGCGAAGCCTTTGGTGAGAGTATGTGGGATTTTACTTTGGAAAGTACAAAACAGTGTGGGTTATACTGCAGTAGTTCAGAAAGCTTAGCTGACAAGAGTCCATAAGTATCTTTCTTTGGTCTTCCAGGAGGATTTCTCTGGCTACGACTTTGAAAACAGATTGCATGTCCGCATCCACGCTGCTCTGGCCTCTCTAAGGGAATTGGTTCCTCAGTGACAGACTTGGAGTTTCTGCTCTGTCCCTTCCCACCTAGAATCTGCACTTTAATATAAAAGCAGAGGACCATGCTCATATGAAGACTGGCTTTTCTTCTGAAGACCACCTGTGCCAGGGACACATTTTCCCAGTTAGGCTGACATAGTAAAGATCTCCTCTTTTAAACATAAAGCTGAAAAGTAATAATAATGATGATAATAGTAATTATAACTAACTACCTGGGGAGAGGGTTAAGTGACCTTGTTTAAGCATTTTAGTTTTGTGATTTATTATTTTTAAAATAAAATCAAACTAAATATTCAACCTGTGACCTTGTAGGAACGCCTCCCTTAAGCACACATCTGATTGGGTAACACTAAGAAGTACCTGTAAAATTAACAGTATCATGACATAGCATTTCTATTGTGTTTTGAAAAAATAAAAGTGCTTTCTAGTGTTCTACTTTATCCTCCATCCACTCCTGCAAATAATGTAGAACAGATATTTTCCCCACTGTCTGGACAGTGAAACTCAGGCACCGAAAGGCTAATTATCTCAATTCTTCCTGTTACCAGTGGAGCAATGAATAGAACGCAGATCTCCAGACCATGGACCGAATATTCTTTTATTGTAAAAAATATGTTAATAATCCAGAATTCCATGTTTTCCTTATTAAAAAATAATTGCTCTTCAGCTGAAGTTGTGTCATCAAAAAATATTTTTCTCTAGATTTTCTACAAAATGTTTCCAAGTGACAAGCACTTTTTCCTTTGAAAGTCAACCAAGTAGAAGCAAATAGTTTTATAACCAAAGGTATAACTGTTTTACTAATTTATTAGAAAGCCTAGTCTATAGACTAGATAAATAATGATTACGTTTTAAGAGTTTCCCGCTGTGAAATTGTGTAATAACCAACTTTTGAGAATCTTTTAAACATATTACTTGAAAAGATCATTCTTGAAAGAACAGATTTTTTTGCCTCAAATATTTGCTAATGAAGAATTTGCTGGACTGTCTTTTGTTAGGATTTAATAATTTTCCCCTTAGCTCAGTTTATGTGATATTATAAAAAGAGCTCAAAGTTATTTTTAATCCTTCGTTGCTAATTTTTATTGTCATTTAATTTACCTCTTTGTCCATACTGCACACCTGTGGTTTTAAAGAATCAAAATACCTCAGTCACTTAAGAATTTCTACCATAATTGTATGACTAATGTGGCTCAATCTTAAAATTGGATTTTTAAAAAATTTATATTGAGCTAAAGAGTATCACCTTGGGGTGTCATTTGTTTACATATCCTTTTAGCTGAAGGACAGCCTCATCCAATTATAATTCTTTAATATTTCTTAACAAAACATGGGTGGGAGCAGCTTAAAGTGTTGACAGGTTTAATCTACTTAATCTAATTCCTTGACCGAAATGATTATTCTTTACTGATTTTGGCTAAACTCTCTTCATATTTCCCCACTTCCAAAGCCAAAATGTTTATTCACATTGACTTTCTTTCTGGTGTGAATCGTGCATAGATTTTAGATAGTAGCCAGAAAGGAAAGATTGCTATCTTTCATTCGGGAAATGAGTAGATCTAGAAGCCAAGTAGATGCTTTCTGAAGAGAAAAATTAGTGTCTAAAAATATTGGATGCCTGGTTTCATCCAGGCTGAAGGGAAGAACATTTTGAATCTTTAAAATATAGCTCTTGCCATTTTGTTGTCTTCGCTGTAGTATATGTGAAAAGTCAGGATTGTGGAGCATTTCTGAATCATAAAGTTCTTGTTTCAGAGTTCGAATATTGTTCAAACTTATTCAGTTGAATTTTCAGTCCAAATATTCAAACTTGTTATTCAGCATTAAAGATTACAGTCCAAAATTTTTTAAGAACCATTCCTGCATTAACTGCTTTAACATTTTTTTATTTCTCCTTCAGGATTTCAAATAAGTTTGTGTTCAGTTCACTTAACTGAATAGACAGCTTTACAACACCATCAAGTAGATTTTCTTTAATAGTCAAAGAATAGGTCTGTTTATAAACTCTTTCCTAGGTTTGGTGCGTAATAGTCCTTGTGGTTTATCTCTCTTAATATGGTGATAGAGCATGGAGAAGGAGGTAGGTGGTGATACTAAAGACTAACAAAAGTACAGTTTAAGTACACTGTACCATTAGATTACTGAAATCTGAGTACATTTTTTTGAGTCGAGTAATTCTAACAGTTACCTGGCCTGCGTGCCATTACTTATCCAACCTGTGAACTACCGTGATCTGCCTAGAAATTTAGTTTGGTGTAAATTACTCCTTACTCCTTGTTGATGAAGAAAATAGTCATATAAGTGGAGCCATTTGCATTTATGTGTGTACAGTCCAAATATTCAAAGATTTCAGTCCAAATATTCAAACTTGTTATTCAGCATTCAAAGATGTACTTTATAATTTTTTAAGAACCATTCCTGCATTAACCGCTTTAACATTTTTTTATTTCTCCTTCAGGATTTCAAATAAGTTTGTGTTCAGTTCACTTAACTGAATAGACAGCTTTACAACACCATCAAGTAGATTTTCTTTAATAGTCAAAGAATAGGTCTGTTTATAAACTCTTTCCTAGGTTTGGTGCGTAATAGTCCTTGTGGTTTATCTCTCTTAATATGGTGATAGAGCATGGAGAAGGAGGTAGGTGGTGATACTAAAGACTAACAAAAGTACAGTTTAAGTACACTGTACCATTAGATTACTGAAATCTGAGTACATTTTTTTGAGTCGAGTAATTCTAACAGTTACCTGGCCTGCGTGCCATTACTTATCCAACCTGTGAACTACCGTGATCTGCCTAGAAATTTAGTTTGGTGTAAATTACTCCTTACTCCTTGTTGATGAAGAAAATAGTCATATAAGTGGAGCCATTTGCATTTATGTGTGCTCTTTTTGTATTGGTATCACTCCTTCTTCCCTATTTTGGAAGCTCTCAGATGGATCTTGTAATTTATAAATGTCACATATATTTTTGTATTAGATTGTGCCTATGAAGAGAGAAGTCTCTAATGTATGTCTTATGTACTCTGGACACATAATTTGACACACGTGGAGGCATGGTTTAATAATGATGTATATGCACCTTTGTGGTTAATATATTCAAAATTTTACTTTTATTGGATTAGGTATCTTTATGATTTTAGCACATGATAGTGAAATATTTGAGTAAAGAATTATTTTCTGATGTCACAGAAAATTAGAATAGTTATTGGATATTGTATAAGTCAACTATTTACAGAATTTGCACTTTATATTTCTGCCAACTAAAATGAAAGGACAACGCGTACCTGATTTTTACTTGATTGCTTCATTAAGCAAATTGTGGTGGCAAGTATTTAAATATGACTCTGTACCTGTGAAGATATACATTCACACAGTCATGATGTACTGTTTGGCATTTATATATTTTTAGATCCTGTTGGTGTTATATTTTGTATTTAAAAAAAAACAAAAAACAAAAAAAACCCGTATCATCACAAGAAGCTCATAGTAGAGGAAGGAGACTTGGAAGATAGGAAGAGGAAATACAGAAAGAAAAGGACAAGGGGAGCAAGAAAATGGAAAGTTGGTCCATTAAAGATGTGCCCTTCAGTAAAGTGTGCAAAAATCCTCAAGTGCTCAGTGTAATTGGCTTCCTTGTGAAAACTAGCAACGGGGCTGAGCTCTAGCTCCCAATTGACTTGGGTATAAAATAGAAGCAACACACTTGTAAGCAAGGTGAGCTCTAGTTTATACTTTCTCTTCCCAAAGGCCGGTGACTCTCAAATTTTAGTTTTACAAATTAGTCCTCTCTGAGATTCTGATTTCTGTAAATTCTAGGGAGGGCTTAGTATTTTTAACAAGCTCCTAGGGTGATTTGATGCAAATAGTCTAAATTAGACAAACATTGACCTACATTTTCACCTTTTGGTAAATAGTAAATCTGAGAGAAGGATCTAACACAATTGTGTAGCCAGATTATGCTCAGTCACAGTATGTCATGGGGCAGTCGAGGAAATGCTGCTCACCCCTTGGCTTTCTAAACTAGGAGGTTCCTGAGCTGAGTTTTGTTTTGTTTAATTAATTTATTCTAAGCTGAGTTTTAAAAAAGAATGCAATCAGGTGAAAATGATGGCTAGAAGGATGTCTCAGGCCTTGTACCCCCATGAACAAAGGCGCAGAGGTGACAAACAACATGGGTATTCAGAACCAATCTCTAGAGAGTCAAGTGGAAAGGAAATGGTAAGGTGAGATGGGGGTTATTTGAGGTCACATAAGAACCTTGGGCTTCTATAGAATAGGACTTTGAGGTGGGGGCAAGGGACAGGGAGCAATGGATAAGAGCGGATTCATATTTTAGTTAGATCTCCAGTGATTAAAAGGGAGGTGAATACAAGGATAAGAAAATTGTAAAGCCACATCAAATCATTAGTTCTAGAAATCAAAGTAGCAAATAGTGGTTTAAAAATTTTTGGTTAAATGTTTTCACTAACAATTTGCATTTCAGAGAGACTTGGACAAAACCGGCATTGGGGAAATGCGGAAAGTAAAGCCTTGCCGCCTGAGTTACAGGTATTCTGCATAGTACTTAACACCTAGTAGGTGTTCAAGATGACCCACCTAGTTAGGCTACACAAGCATAATTGTCTCTAATTCCAAATGACATCATAAATTGGGTCTCTAATGTTTGCACTTGGGTTTTTTTAGTTTCATTATACTTTTGATACTTAAACATTATAAACCAAAGCATAAGAAATTATGACAGCCTCATTCACTTCACTTTTATTTACACGACCAAAGTGGTGCCAGGGACAGTGATGGACCAAAAAAAAAAAAAAAGGCGCTCTGCAGGCCTATCATATCAAAATCTAAAAGAGCATTTCTCCTTTTAAAATATGCTTGTGACAAGAAAGAACTTGTCTGCCCCATAATGAGCACTTGGTAATAACTATTAAATGGATGAATTAATATCTCCAGAAAATGCTGTGTGCAGCATAGATATAGACTTGGAGCTTCAACATTGCTTTTATTGCAAAGTGTTCTAGAAGCCTTAATTTTTCTCTGAATTAAAAAAAGGTTTTTGTCAGATGTGTGCCCTTACATTTAATGGTAGATTTCCAGTGGTTCTTGTTGATTTTTGAACATTTGAAAATCTGTTATAATGAAGGCTGCTTAGAATCTGATAATCATGATTATGGCATTATTTAATGCCTAGCACAAATATACAAACCTGAATACGTGAAAAGGCAGAAAGTGGGTATTTTAAATGAGCCAATGTTCCTTTAGTTAAAATAACTGATGTGACACACTAATCCTTGACTTGCAACCTGTTGCTGGCGAAGGTGTGGTTTGGGGAGGATAGGTTATGGCTGAGGTACTGCCAAGACTCCAAATTTAAGAGAAGCTTCAGGATTAATGCCAAATTTCCACAGGTCATTTTCTTAAGAGGAAAAGTACTGTGTTGCGTAAAGTTGTTCTCTTTATACTAGTGTTTGTTGTGTACACCGTGGCAGAAATTCTTCTTTGAAAAAGTGACTCGAGAGTAACATGGGGGGATGGGTAGTGTGAAAGGGAGAGGAGGTGGCAGCGAGATAGAACTGCCATAAGTTTATTTCTCTTCCAAATCATCTCTTATTTTAGATGGAGCGACCAAAAGCGGAGAGGCTGTCGCCTCGACCCCTGGCGGTTTGGAAACGCCAGTTTCCCTATACCCGTTGGTGCTCAGAAAAGATGGAAGCAAAGCCACCCTGGCCCGCGGAATTCCGGCCTTTGTCCCTTTCGGCTCCCTATTGGCTGGGGCTGCTGGAGCCCCGCCTCCTTCCATTGTGGGGGCGGGGTTTTGTGACGTACTCCTTGACGGTTCCCAGGAGTATAAAAGGCCAGCTGGGCGCGCTGACTCCTTCAGGAGCCGCCGGCAAGGAGTCAGCAAGGAAGCTCTTTAGAACGTAGCCGGAAAGAAGGTGGGGCAGTCCCCCCTGTGCCCCGGAGGCAGTTAGGACGGTTCCTTAAGTGTTGGGGAAGGCGGAGGGCCACAGGAGTAGGAGGGCCGTGGGGAGGGGCTGGCCACACCAGTGAATGTGGCAGCAGCCTGGCCTCTCCTGAAATAGTTGATGCGCAATCGCTCACATTTCACTGCCCTCTCCAAACCAAATGGCAAAACAAGCCCAGGCCCTGCCGTCCCACTGACCCTGGCGTAGGTCTTTAGGATGTGAGTGGTGTGTTCCAGTTACATTTTCTGTCACTCCAAAGCTCCCACTCGCATCCTCAGCCAAAGGCACTGTTTCCCTACGCAAGTGTTTACCCCCTGTGGTAGTGGGTAAATGGAAGTTCACAGTTTGGCGCAGGGGTGCAGGTTGTAAAATTTGTTACTTTTGAAATACTTTTAAAAGAGATTTGGGGACAATTGTCAAGCTTTCACTTTCCAGCAACTCCTAATGTATTTGGGACTTTACCCGTTTATATATTTATATTGGTGTCACAGTATTTCTCAACGTGCTCAGCAGAATTCCTTACATGGGATTGCATAGTAGGCTGCCCAGCATCCCTGGTCCTGGGGCATTAAATTGCCCCACAGATTCATGAAGTCTGTCAAGGTGTGGAACACTGTCTGGGGTGGGAAAGATTAGGGTCACTGTATGGCTGCTCGCCCCACAATTGGTAGCACCAACTGCTGCCTGCTTGCAGAGAGGGTGTTAGTTCTATCATGGCTACGGGTAAGCCACATTAAAAACATGACCTATCAAACCCATATTGGAGTGCAAAGGGTATACTTTTAAAAAAATTATATAATTACAGCCTATGTCCCAGTCTGTGTCCCTTAACGTTTTAGCATGTGGGTCTGCCAAAGCTGCTGGTTTTTAAAAGATGGTTTAATTTAGTAAAGCTCGTTGGATGACACTCTGGTAGTAAGTTTTCATTAAGGGATTCAGTGTACTTATGTTCTCAAAGGGTTTGCTTTGGCCAATCCAGATTCATGTTTTTCCTGACCTTTGGGAAGATGAAATGTGCTTTTAAATATTCAGCATTTTGCTGAGTTGCTTTTTTATTGGAGGTTGGCCACCTGTATAATTTCTGTAACTAAACTGTCACTTAGACCCATGAAACTCGTTATCCTATTTACTGTAGGAATGATGTTGAGGACATGGTTCATTATATCACACACTATTTTCCTCTATTTGAGGACTCATAGGAGAAATTTTTCCTGGGTCTCAGGGTCCAGAATGGCTGTGATTCTCCTAAGCAATTTTTTTTTTTTTTTAAATCTCAGAAAACCCGAATCATTTATCCAACTGTTTCCTATCTTGTTAGGGCTGCTTGGTAGTTCAGGGGCTGATTTAACACCCCATATCAAAGTGTAGGATCTGTGGGTTGTATTTGAATACTAACCTTACCTGTGGCTTCATCCTAGTTTTTCTACCATAATTTTTCATTTACCACTGGACTGATTTCCTTAAATATTTAATTTTCTTTGCAGGTATTTATATACTTTAATTTTTTTTTTTTTTAGAATGAAACAGAACACACGGACACACAGTTTAGGGTGGCAACCTCTGCAACTCTTGAGAATTACAGGTTCTACTGTGCAGTACCCTTGGTACCACTTAAAATCCAAAAAGGCGGGAGAAGGGAGAGATAGAAAACTAGGGCAGAGGTTAAGGGAGGATATGAGAAAAGAGGTATGCACAGTGGTGAGTGGTATAATACCACATGTAATTTATGCCTATTCTGAGTGTTAAATTTAAAAAATGTAACTTAGATGATCAATGTGTCTAGGGATATATTTAGAAAAATGAGATAAAAAGATATTTTCTTACAGAAACCCTACTTTATAACTCTACTCGCAGTATATACAGAAAAGCCAGTGCCCCTGTGGTTAGAAAGATGTTTAGACACAAATAAATCAGCTTAATTTATTTTTCTTGAAATTTTCTTGCACAAAATATTTACTGAATTTTACAGAAACAAGTTTTGTTGGTTTTTTGTTCTTTGTTTTTAATATCCTGGAGTTCCTGGCAGGGCTTTTCCCATGGATTTCTTTAATAGCACCTAAAAAGCTATTGGTAACATGATTTTTTTTAACTACCATCAAGAATTAACCCATTTTACTAAAATAAACACTGAGAGATTAGAACTAAAGCTAATAATTTTAACAGATGTGTCCTCAGAAACTTTAGTTAACTCATAAGAAACATTTTGTATAGAAAATTTTAACCACAACCTTTTTTATAAGACTTTGTTTTTCTTCATTTTAGTTGAGATTACAGACATCCTACCAAAATGATTTCTTCAAAGCCCAGACTTGTCGTACCTTATGGCCTCAAGACTCTGCTCGAGGGAATTAGCAGAGCCGTTCTCAAAACCAATCCACAAAACATCACCCAGTTTGCAGCTGTTTATTTTAAAGAACTTATTGTGTTTAGAGAAGGTTTGTTACTGCTTTAGATTATATGTTTGTTGCTGTGAAAAAGAAAGTATTTTTAAGTTGGGATTTTTTGTAACTGATTTCCTGTATTTATTCCTTCAGAGAAACCTTCTCTGGATATAAAAGATCTGGTTAAACAATTTCATCAATGCAAAGGTAAGTACCACAAGTGGTAATAATTTAAGAATACCGGTTATAAATTATTGCATCATTAATAGCATATGCTCAAACTTAAGATGCCCACAAATGTTTAGCTAATCATAGCTAATCATACTGTTTATGTTTAAATAGTCAAAATGCTAATGCTTTATTATTATTGAATCAGGTTTTTTTAAATCTGGGGACTAACATTTTGGGAGGATTCTAGATCTTAAAAATGCAAAAATAAAAACATCTTTTACAAACCATTTGGTATAATGAGACCTAGAACAGTGTGTGTAAAACTATGACTCAAACCCTTTCCAATATGCCCTATCTTTAGGGAAGTACAGTGAACTTGAGGAGATTTGGATTTTGTGGTCATACTCAAGTTACAATGAAATACATTACTTAGGGAAGTTGTATAGACACTCTCCTTGGGAGATTTTTACAAAGAGAAGTTTAACCACCACCTTTTTTTTCTCCCCAAGATGATTTAACTGCAGTCCAGGTTGGAGGGCAGGAAATCAATTAGGTGTCACTGACCATCTTTTCTGTATGTCTCTATGTAGAGAAGAGATTGTTTTTCATATAGAGTGGTATCCTCCAGGCTCTTTGACACAGGCTCTGTATATCTGCTTATAAAAAAGGCAGTGTTTTATGTGTAAATATTTATCTTATGTGAACACAACAACATGAAATTGAGCAAGCAAGGAGCAAAGAAAAAGGGGGAGAAATGAGAAAGGCAAAGTTCACATGATGAAAATTTAGGAAGATCACTATATAAGCAAAAGGGTATATATTGGTCAAATCTGAAGGACAGGCATACATGTCTAATAGAATGGTAAGAAAAAACTTCTGGCAGAATTTTGTGAAAAAAAATCAAGACTCATGGGTCAGTGTGGGGAAATAACTAAATTTTGGAATGATCATAGAGAAAGGTGAGATCACTGAGTTTCAGCCACTTTTATACTCTGCCACTTTGGTGATGTTAATAGATAATGACATAGCCAAGATAGGGAGAAATCAGGTGTAAGACCTAGGAAAATATAAAAGTCATGAGGGTTTGGACCTGCAGTGAAAGAGACACCTAAAACAGACAGCAAGATTAAAAATAGCAATAGTCAGCATTTGAAGGGGCAGGAGAGTGAATCTCCATGGTTTAGGAATATTTTATTGCCTCGTCGGGCTCCTTCTCTGCAGGGTCCTGATGGCATTCTCAGCTTACCACAGGAAACAGGTCCAAGATTTGCTTACCACCAGCAGGGTATACAGACAAGTGCTAGAACATTGACCCTCCCCTTCTCCATAAGCCTGGTTTCCCAGGCATTCAAGGTTATTATGCTTTGTACTTGTGTCCTCTATACTAGGAGCTATGTTTGAGAGCTATGGGAGTATGCAGGCTTACTCTATTTGAGAATGGTGATGAAGTCAGTGACTCTTCATGGTGAAAGGTAATTAACTGGTAGCCTTTGAGGCTAATTTGTGTACTGTAGAATTTACTCACCATTCAACTTAGCAAGTAGACTAAACTGATGTGGATTTTGGTCCAACTAAGTTAATGTCTTTGAACTCAGGGTTCAAAATTAACATACTGAACTAATGGGGCAGCCATACTTTGAATTGAGGCAAGGCAGGTAGGTGATACTGCTGCTTTTCTTCTCTAGTAACTACAGATATCAAGGAAATTGACATAGTATACAGATAATCAATCCTAAAAGTAGGCTTACAGTATGGCCGTAGAAACAAATTGCTCTTTAGGCAATAGAGTAGACGTGAACATTACTTGTTTAGTTTTCCTGGAAGATGGGAAGGTAATATGAAGGTATGACCAGAAAATACAGAGTTCAGTACTACTGTCTAATATCAGCTGGGCTCATTTGTTTGCCTTTTATTGTCATCCCAAATGGACAAACAGGATCATTAACTCAGGTCCTATCACAGAGATGGCACGAGCCCGCATATATCCAGGAAAGCATCACTATGTTTATCCACAGATAAACAGGCACCATAAGGTTCCCCCTTGGTATAGGGCATATTCTCCCCTGAGTGACATTCTCCTTCCTTCTCACTGGTTTAATTCCTCGACTGCTATTCTTTTGGGAGCTCTGGGTAAATTTGGCTGCATGGTGGTTCAATATTCAAAAATATGGGTGGCATCTTCATTCTCTAAATGGAACTTATGTGGATCCCAGAATTAAATATGGATGGTGGCATATTCCTTTATTGGTTCCAAGGATTGTAGCTCTTCCAGGCTTTCCATGACTCACAATATTGGGAAAACCATTCTTTGAGGACTAAGTCAGGTGACCCTTATTCTGATCTTTCAGTCTCTTCAGCATGAGGCTATATCCAGCCTAAGGACAGCACCAGGTATTAGAACTCAGTGATGTGGGCAAGAGCTAAATGCTATCCGTAGTGTATTGGTCTTCATTCATCTCCCAGACAGCAGATGCGAGCATGAAAGACGTGTTTCATAAGAATGCTCAGTGGGAATGCTGTATCTGCCAAAGTTATTCCCAAACTAGTTAGTTCACTGCCTAGTGGCATTACTACCAAGTTGCCCATATGCCTGGAAAGCATGGAGAGCTATGGGAGTACATCCCTACATGTACCATTTGTGTTATTGAACACTTCATCCTGGGCTTTTCCTTAGAAGGGGCCTCATTTTTGGTAGGCCTCACCATAGGGCCAGTAGTGTTTATCCATCTTCCCAGTGCCTTCAAAGTTTTCTGCAGTAAGGTGATGGAGGAGGGTGGGGGGAAACATGTGGGAGCAGACTTTTCTCACTTTTCTGTTATCTCTCATCTTTCCCATTTTTCCAGAGCCTAGAATCTTTAAGCTGGTCCTTACAATGATGTAAGCCTTCATTGTGGCATTTTACCCACACGTGTCCATTTCTAAGGCAACTTATGCTATGAAACACATTCTTAGATCCTCTTTCTGCAATTTGATTAAACAGACCTCACTACCATATGAATCAAAGAAAGTTCTCCCATTTCTCGATCTTCTCAGGAGAGTTTCTTCATTATTCAAATGAAACATTAATTGGGATATTTTAGGCAAAAGAATTGTCTTTCAAGTTCCACCACTTAGTATATGCTAGGAAAAGGTGGCAATGGAATTAATTGAGTAGCTGTTTTGTCCTAGGCACTTAAAATACATTTCCTTTATTAAGACAACTTCATAAGGTAGGTGACATCATTGCAATTTGACTCAAGAACTCAAGAGAAATCTGATGCTTGGGAGTGGTTAAAAAACTTGCAATCTTCTAAATATTAAATAATTGGTAGAGTTGGGTAGGAAGCTTAGATCTTCCTAGTAACACGACTCATGCTCTTTCCACAATAGTTAGTAACATGCTAGGCTTTTGCTGGAAAAACCTTAAATTCTTGAACTGAAAGAGTAAAGGGAAAGGAGTATCAGCTCCCTTTCCTCTCATTATCTCCCACTGTTTTACTTCTTCATGTCGCCTTCTTATGTGGAACCTGTAGCCCAGATTGTGCTAATTCTCATCTTTTCACCACTCAGTGAAAAGGGCAGCGGTTTCTCTTCATAGTAGTAAATGAGATCTCAACAGCACCATCACCTTCCATCCCCCTAAGTCTATTTGAGTCCCGTTTCCAGTGTTTGCTCTGTCTTGGCTTCCAACATAGGTAGGAAATAACCACCTCTTTTGAAGTATCAAGAAGGCCTAGCCCACCTTGATCTCCCACCTGAGTTACCCTGTTGACTTTCCTAATGGATCCTGGACATTCTTGGCTTGGCCACATAGCAGTAATTACAGTCATGAACTGCTGCTGATCATCAGGCCCAATTTCAGTTTCTATACAGCACCATAGCTATGCATAGCATAGTTATGCATATCATTAAATATTGCCTTTTTATTCATATTAAATATAATTTTTAGTTTCTTATGCCAAATTCTATTTTTATGCATTATTTTTACAGTTGGTTACATATCCTATTGGCTATACACTCTTGCAAACAAATAAGGAATATATCTACTTCGGGACTGTCTGTACTAAATTTTGTAAAAGTCTGGTAACACTGCACTTTCCTGGGCATGTTTTCAAATAAGGCTATGCTGACTCCCTGAACACAGTGATGGGTAGTATGTCTATAAAAATATTTTCTTTTGAAGTCTACCATTTGCCTAGGCAAGGTTGTTAAGAATTTCATTACCGTGTAAGAATTTCATTAAGTTTAAAAACGGTTTGAATGATCATCTGGCAGTGTTTTGGGGAGAGAGTCTTAGGTCCTTCATGCTATTCCATTCTGATAAGTTAATCAGTTGGGGAATTGTCTATACTAAAAAAGGCAAATAAATTATTGAGCAATGGTTATATTCAAGAATTAGAGTCAGATTGTTAGACTAGAGACAGAGAAAACAGTGTCAGGATTAGGAGAGGAGAGGCCTAGGTGGCAAGCAGACATGGCAAACCAAGAAAGCTAGAACAGGAAACCAGGTTGCCAAGATGAGGTCAGGAACACTAGGAGACAAGAGTCAGTATGTGAAAGAACAACGTCTGCTATCCAGAAACTTTGGTAGGTCCCTATAGTTCACAAAATCCAAACTCTTCAGTGTTGTAGGGATACTTTCGAAAAAATATGAAACTAGTGTATAATTATTCCTGTTTGTCCTGTTGCTCTCTACTCACCGAAGCATTCATTTGCCTTAAGGAAAAGGCAAGTAGAACATGGGGCAAGGAAGTTGTTACTCAATACTGAGTTTCAAAAGTTCATAGTAAGAAAGCTAAAACTTTGGAGTTTTGTGGGAACCTGTTTTTGTTAAGATTTTCTTGAAATTTCCAGAGCTGAGTTTTGATTTAAGAGCCAAAGCTACTAGAATCGAGTTTTTACTTTGTGTGAGCCATAGAGGAAGGGGAAAAGGGATAGGATATACAGTCATTTCCTGCTGCAAAGGAAAGGGAAATGGAAAGTCCTTGGCAGTGGGATTGTGGTGCTTGAGTGTGGGTAGCACATGAAGTGTACTAGCAGCTGAGATTGGAACTGGA